TCTATTATATAAATATATAATAATATGTAATAATATTCTGAAATAATATTCGGTAAATATATTATATATCCTAAATATATTCTGAAATAATATTCGGTAAATATATTATACATCGCAAATATATTCTGAAATAATATTCGGTAAATATATTATATATCGTAAATATATTCTGAAATAATATTCGGTAAATATATTATGTATCGTAAATATATTCTGAAATAATATTCGGTAAATATATTTTGTAAAGATATATTTTATAAATATATATTGTAAATATATTCTGAATATAATACTCACAATAATATATAATACATAATTATTAATATATAATATTAATAAAATATAATATTCTGAAACAGTATTCGATAATAAAATAATATATATATGCTACAGCGAACGAGGTTGTAGAACGAATTAGTTCAGAATAGAATATGTGCTCATTGTATCAGGCTTGAAAATCTGAAATTGTTCTGGAAAAAGAACGGGAATTAAGAGATTGTTCAGCTTTGAGGCGACGACACCGAAAGCAGACTTTCAAAGAAGTCTTCGAAGAAGACTCTTTAGAAGACTTTATTATGTTAATCACGACTGCAGAACGTGGCACGTTTCACGCATAATTGCTGCAGTACGATAGCACGAACTTGCCGTCTTGCTGCTGACACGGTAACAGATAAAACATCAAAATTCGATATTTATTTTAAGTAAAATTCAATTTTTATTTCAAGAAAAATTCGATAGTTATTTCAAGTAAAATTCGATATGTATTTTAAGTAAAATTGAATTTTTATTTCGAATAAAATTCAATTTTCATTTCAAGTAAAATTCGAGATATTTACGTTAAGTAAAGTTGAATTCTTATTTTGAGTAAACTTCGATATTTATTTTAAGTAAAATTCGATATTCATTTTAAGTAAAATTGAATTTTTATTTCGAGTAAAATTCAATTTTTATTTCAAGAAAAATTCGATATTCATGTCAAGTAAAATCGAATTTTTATTGTGAGTAAAATTCGAAATCTATTTCAAGTAAAATTCAAAAAATTCATATTTGAAGTAAAATTCAATTCTTATTTGAAGTAACCGTAAAAGCAAAAAATCAGAAACCAATAATTTCGACTAGTACGATAATTCTGCTGTTAAATGCTGCACAGATTAAAAAACGTTCCAGTTCTACGCGACGAAATACAACAATGCATATTAATAAAAGCTAATCAGAAATAACGCGTCTCGAGCGAACGATTCGCTCGTTACGTAATCAGGGGGGCGAAGAAGCTGTCCGATCGGTCGGCTAAGCGATTCGCTCGCGTCGAGAATCCACGGAAAGATTATTGCACTCGTTATGTTGTTCCGCAGTCCGGATATTCGGACGCTTACGCTTCGACTCCGTTATGATCTGTAACCGGAAATCATTTTGACGTGGTCGGCGGCGAACGCATTAATGCTTTACGAACAAGGCACGCCGTTGAATATATTGAGGGAAAACCCGTTTTATGGCCGACACGCACGACACCGGCAAAATAACATGAATAATGGAGGGATCAATTGTCTAGCCGGCCGCTTTGGAACATCTTCCGAAGAAAATTCTAACGTCGGAATACTAATTCGTGCGGATACGAACGGCGTAATCGATGCTCCAGCGATGCTAATCGAATATTCATTCGCGATAACGTGAAAATTATTATTTATATTTATTCGGAATCTTTTAGTCTTGTTTCGAGGAAAATTCTATTTTCAAGGTTATATTACATTCGATTAATTTTTTAGGTGACGCCAGAGCGTAGTTTTAACATTATTATTTATATTTATTATTATTTATACTTATTTATATTTATTATTATTATTATCTTAGTCTTATTTCAAGGAAAATTCAATTTTTATTTAACAATTACATTCGATCAATTTTTTAGGTGACACCAGAGCGTAGTTTCAAAATTATTATTTATATTTATATTTATTATTATTATCTTAGTCTTATTTCAAGGAAAATTCTATTTTTACTTTAAATTTAATTCAATTAATTTTAATTATATTTTAGGTGAAACCAGAGAGGATAGTTTTAAAGTTATTATTTATATTTATTCATAGCCTTATTCTTATTTCAGGGAAAATTCAATATTTCCTTTAAATAAAATTCAATTAATTCTCAGATGAAGCCGATGCAGCTTCAATAATTATTATTTATATTTATTCAGACAATTTCGTGTTTCTCTGTATACAGATCTTTCCAAATTACGGTGATATCACGTGACATCCGGGCAGACATCATTTATAGTACACTATTTTATAAAATAATGGGGGAAATCGTTATCTCATTTTAGATATTTTATTTATTGGAACGCTTCGTAAAATTAGCTAGAAATCGAATTCTAAAAGCCTCCAATTTCCAACTTTTACCATTTCGTTCTAAAAAAGGGCGCAATCTCGTCGGTCGCGCGCGCGCGTTCTTCGTCGAGCCGCGCGAACGCGGTATATTTACGATTGCAAAACTATTTTGTAAAACCGTGGACGAGGGAATGCAGGAGAGACATGCAGGAAGTTGTAAACAACGCTTATCTGCGCAAAGAGATTCAACGATTTATTGAACATCGGAATCCACCACAGAGTCGAAGTTTATACGTTTCAGCGGAACGGGGCGACCGCGCGGCGACGAGCTCGAAACGCATCTTCTGGCCCGTTAACGAACACGCAAGCGTGTTATTTCGTGATTTATGAAATCCCGATGCGTCACGATATCACTTCTGGTTTCTGTTTGGCGAGAGGAAAATATTGCCGGACGACGCTGGCAAAATAAGCAGTCGTGAAAACGTCGAACCACGACCGACACGTTCGATTGAAAAACAGAAGCCGCGGCGTCCTCGCGCTTCCATCCCCTATGATTTATCCCTTATTAATTCCGAGCGAGCATGCGGAGATCGTCGGAGCTTAAATCACGGCGATCGCCGTTCCTGGGACTCTATCAAGCAACATTATCCTCGGCTTAATATTATTAAGTGCCCACGTCAGGTTTGCACGCTTCATTATCCATTGTACGGGCATACTTGCGTCGTGTACTATGTTGCGGTTACCGGATATTCTTTTTTTTTACGAGAGGCAATCCCTTGCGAAGATTTGCGACAATATAAACTGAAGAGATTTTTAATCTCTTAATTGTATTATATTTGTGTGCCGTGCTTTTTTTTTATTTTATATTTTATATTTTTATTTTATACGAACGGATTTAATTATGAAATATTTTTGAAGGCTGTGGTACAAATGTTTATTATTTGTACAAGTAAAGATTAATATTTCTTTTAGATAGGATTCATTTTTGATTTTTGTTTCGAGTAAAATTCAATTTTTTGGTTTCGAGTTATATTCGATATTTGTTTCGAGGGAAATTCAATTTTTGGTTTAAGTTAAATTCAGTGTTCATTTTGA